ATACGGATGCGATATAGAGTGATACTGATCTTGTTGTTCTGTGGCTTTGTGCCTTGTGCATGACGTAGCTTTGTGCCCGTATTGGCCTACAGCAATTCTGTGACGTGTTGCTTCTCTAGCGTACGTATTACTGGTGTTTAACGAGTTGTGGTAACTTGACTAGCCTTAGCATATTTGATGTTCTTCAACGGATAAGGATATGTGTGAGTGCCCGTTTACGGGCTTGGCTACTCGAAATTAAATCCATCAATCAATCAATCAATCAGTAGCCGAACTGGCTGCTTTTCTAGTGGGTTGACCGTACCACGATGTTGTGTGGGCTGTTGGGATGAAAGGTTGGCACGTCCGGCAACGGCGCGGTCGTGGACGCTTTTACTGACGTAACACAATTGCTGAACGTAACAACGGAAGTTCACGGCATGTTTAATGACAAGACAAGGTGCAAGGTTTAGGCAAGAGTTTAACAAGCGGAACAAGCTGATCAAGCTGTAACAAGCGAATGCAAGACTGAATTCTAGAAATTGTGAAGAAGAACAGCTAGCCGGTAAAATAGACAGAAATTCATAACGCAGTGATGAATCATAACTGGGTGGTTTTATGGTTGTACAACTTCTATACTTCTATCGCTACAATATGATAGATAATTCGCTTAAGTCGTTGGCGGTATAAGTCCGTGATACGAAGTTTACAATTAACGATTAGAACTATTTCCTATACTTTATCTTCTGCAGAGCTGCCGCAAATTAGTGAAGTGACTTTACAATTCTGCTGCAGCTCTGCAGCATAAAGTACTGGAAATAGTTCCAAATACGACATTTCTGAGTTCGGCATTTTCGGGCGGTTTTTTCGGTTAATCGGTTATAGATTTTTGCTGTACTTCGTAACATTCACTTTGCTAAGGTGGACTTTACGAAGTACAAAAATTTGTAACCGGTAAAACCGCCCGGACGGATGAATTATCATTTAATTGTTCCTAAAACTGCGTATATTTTACCCGGCCTAGATTTGTTTAGCTGTGGCAGAAATGTTATTTATGCCGGACTCACATTTCGAATCTCAGTCAATTAATGAGTTCCTTACCGCCAAACACACCAGTCAACTTTTCGGTAGCAATGCTTCTTATTTCGCACCGATAATTTTAATCGAAAGTACTTTTTCTATTATAAGGATTAATTTTCGCTGAATATTTTTTTATTTTTCGTCTTTGTGATGCATTGTAAACGCTGTGGCAGTTTAGGTGTTTAACGGAAAGGTAATGGATTAATGTAAAAACCACGATTTCCGTTTCGTGATTCCTCCCATTTGCCCAAGGTTGCCTGTTTTAAAATGGGCAGGTGAAGGGGACAGTTGAAAAAAATTTTCGAAGACCATCTCTACCAGTCACAGTGGCAAATTTTGAAAATCCTCTTAGGGCAGCATCCCTGAACAACTGAACGGAGAATGACACCACGGCTGGTGACAGCCGTGAGTACGAATGGCTACTGCGCTCTTCCTATTTTACAATGATGATGTATATGTGATGACCGACGGACGGCTGCCATCAGGTGCACGGGTTGGGTTGCGAGTATATACGGTCACGCCGCATGTGTGCAGATGGTAACAAATACCATCGTCCATATGTGCATTCTGTTGAGGTGACCAATGCACAGAAATTAGAAGGCATATGTAGTGTGAGAATCAACGGCCACTGTGCCCTTTCACTTTTGATGCGGCGACCGACGGACGGATACCACCAGTTACATAATGTGGGAGTACAGTATATACGGCCACGGCGCATGGGTGCATTTGATAGAAAAGGCAACTGCGCACGTGTGCACTTAGTGGCGGTGACCGACGGACGGACACCACATTTTCCATAATCGCTGAACACAGAAGACCTTCGCTACCCTTCGGTCGATTAAATTTGTCTGTGACGTTTGATACTAACCGCTTTCTAACTGCTTTTAATTCAGGTGATGGTTCCGTTAAATTAGGAGAGTGCATTCGCTTTATGCGGGCACTGCATGATCGAAGCGTGCGTGCTCCCCATCACGGTTTTTTTCTGGACTGAAAAAAATTAGGTTTTTATTTTTATTTGTTTTTTTCGAAAAAAATTTCCTTGTATAAACAGAGATAATTAACTGAGTAGCTAACAATCACAATTATTTCCCTGATTTTATCTACAGTTTCGCTTTATTGTAACAAATTTCGAACGAATTCCATAATTTTCACTCAAAACTTGGTAGATAATAATTTAAGAAATCTTTTCTCCATTTCAAATTGTTTCAAATGCATTTCAAGTTATTTCACAATTTCACATTTCAAATCACATTTCAAACGCCCCTCGTTTGATTTTGAAATTATTTCACTTGAAGCTTGAAATGTGAAATGTTTGAAATTGTGATTTCAGCTTTAATGGTAAGTGGGCCTGAACAAACCAAATTTTGAGTTTCACAGTATGTTGTGGCCTAAGGGCACCGCATCATATTTTGCAGATATACCTGTACGAGACCATTTTAAGTACTCGTTAAAACTTTTTATTCATGCTTGCTCGCTTACAGCGATCGTTGTTTACTGTTTCTGGAGAAAACACCGGTAACAATTCTGCAGACACGTATCCGTAACTACTGAGTACTCTTAAGTCTAGTCAAGAACTTACTATAGGTAGAGGACTGGGAAGCGACTCTGCAACGGTCGACTACGTCATCACTGTCGCATACAGAATGCACTGGTGTGCTATTGCTTACCATAGGCCCACAGATTTTGTTGTCCCTTTTTTAAAGATATTCTCAGTTCCTTTCTCCTCTGAAGCTTTCTGATATTTTTAACAGACCATATTGAATTTAGAAACCCAAACGTGAGGGGCTAGAAATAGAAGAGAAAAGAAATATGCTGCAAAAACCGTAAAAAACGCGCATCTGTCACCATGGCAGCCGCCCTTCCGTATATGCGAGAGTGATGACGTCAAACGGTTGGTTACCAGTCCTCCTCACACTATAGTAAGTACTTGGTTTAGTTTGAAACGCCCGCGCGCTTGTGCGATAACGTTAAAACGGCAAATAGTGTGAATACCCACAAACATTCCGGCAATAATGTCCCCCATGCCGGACACCTATAAATTCGTTAGGGCAATAATGTCCCTTATGCCGGACACTTATAAATTCGTTCCGGCAATAATGTCCCCCATGCCGGACATCTTTAAATTCGTTAGGGCAATAATGTCCCCCATGCCGGACACTTATAAATTCGTTCCGGCAATAATTTCCCCCATGCCAACAACTTATAAATTCGTTTCGGCAATAATGTCTCCCATGCCGGACATTTATAAATTCGTTCTGGTAATAGGGTGGGTCTCACATTCAAAGCGAATCTCGCTATGGTACGGTTGCTCAACCGCACGAGGTGGCTGTTTGCAGTGGCCACGCCTACAGATACGGTACGCGAAGCCACCTCGCGAGGTGGAGTTGCTGTATCGCAACTGGATTACAGCAACTGGATTCGCTTCGAATCTGAGACCCACCCATAGTATCTCTTTTGTTACCTGTTGTTCAAGGATTTTTGTTAGGTAACGCTTTGGTAACGCTGGTGGCACTTCTTCAAAGTTCACCGATTGCCCTAAAAATCAGCTTTCCGTGATAGTTCCTTCAAGTCACCATTTTGGCCATAAGGTTACCGTTTTGGCGGTGGTGGCAGGGGTGACGGAGAGATCAGTACGATAGGGATAATTACCGTAATAATCTATCCTACCGACCTACTCAACGGCAGAATATAAGCTGATAATCTCAATGTGGCATAGCTAAGCCTAAGAATCTACGCGAAGCGAGAACTGCATCTCCGACAATAATAAGAGAAGATAAGTAGATCCAAACACAAAAGAGAAAGATCGCGAAAGTACAAGCGATAATAGAAAGTACGATAAAGCCGTCACTTTACGTACTGTACTGCTATATCACGTGAGGGGGACACGGCAAAAATGTCCGGGGGGACAGGGGGGACATTTTTGCCGGTCACAATGGCATTCAATTTCCACACTGCTGCCAGTCGTAAATACTAGAGTAGATTTTAGGCCCAAGGTCAACTTCCATCCCGTTTCCCATTACTACGTAGTACGTACATTAAGGGTTTACATAAGTAGAAACACTTTTTCGTGAATTTATTTGCGCTTTCCCGTTTTATAAATTATTTTAACAAATGTTTTATCGAAAAGCTTTTCTTTCAGGTATCTGATGAGTTTCTTCTAGCTGAGTTGCACTATTACTGTAGTTTAGGAGTAGTGGCACACCAATGAATTCGAAACCAAATTAGATCGCATTAGACGTTAGTACGTACAAGCCGGTCCGGAGTTGGAGCACGATAGAGAAGAGCGAACAATGTAAATTCATGAGTTGCGCCAGTTGTAGTGCAGTGGCTATCGTCGAAGCGCTAACATCGCGCTTATTATGCGTTAGCTGTTCTCTATCGTGCTCTAACTCCGGACGGGCTTGTACATATGTCCGCGGTGATTTTAAAGGCTAGAAGGGCAAAACTTTAGGGCAATGGTAATGCGGCGTTAGAGTTCAATCAAAGACGTCTCTTATTTGAATTTCTCTTCTTTGAATTCCTTAAGGGTTTTAGTTTTTTTCATTTACTCATGCGCTGATAATAAGCGACGATGAGCTGCCGATCTGAATGGTCAGTACTTCGTGAAGTAGAAAATTAGCTGATAAAAGAACACGGAGTCTCGTTTGAAATTCTGTTCCCCAGGAGTAATGCTTCATTCCGACTTCGTAGCAAGTGTTAAATGATCCAGGAGACTTAAAGTTAAATGTTCGTGCAACAATGGCAAATGAATAATAACTGTCAACTAGAAATTATTTTCGCTGCTGCTCCAGCTTGGCACCCTCTGCACGCTTAAGCACTTCTCAGGAGTAACTACTGAACAGCAAAAATCAAGCGCGCTTGAAAAAATTTTCCGCGTGTTGAGAGAGGCTTCGAAAAGAAATCAACACAACAGGACAATAATTACTGTATCTGATAAGAAAACATCTGAAGCGTTTTGTTACGGATCCTATCATCCTAATACAAACTACAAAGTATGAGTACTACGCTTGTCGAACAACATCTGCAATAAAACAAATGAAAACACCTACAAGCAGACGAAAGAGCATTCAAAACATACGACAGGCAGATGAAAATCTGCAAACACATCAGAATATTTTCCAAACGACCATTCGCGGCCCAGCAACAACAAGGAGATTATAAAATTATAAATAGAAAGGAGAGGCTGTAAAAATTAAATTAAGCTAATATGTCTATGTTATTGCATCATCCCCATTCGACCTGAAATTTGGACTGATTGGAGCTCCAGCCGTGTGTGCGAGAAGTTTTGTACTGACGCAATACACTCTTGTTAAATACCGGTAGCAGTTCACTGGCACTTTCGGACAACGTCTGCAATTCAGACAATGGACAGTACATGGTTGCAAAGTTAAACTGGAAAGCTTGCTACAGTCATGTTAATCCAGTAGATAAATACATAATACAGTGCCTTCACAAACATTAAAAACAACGATATTTTCTACAACACTCAAGGTTTTATACAATACAATACAAACAAGCTGCAAAATATGCACCGGGAGGCTGAACAAAATGGCGTACCTCCAGTCAACCGAAAAATTACGAATAACCCTTAAGTGCCAAGTTACCGAATTAAAATATCGCGAAAACGATGGCGATTATCCGAATGCAGCTTTTTTTAAACGAAGGAAATGAATGTTCTACCACGGTATAAAAGAGATTTATTTCTTTTTTTTAGAACCACGGTATAAAAGAGATAAATCTCTTTTATACCGTGGTTCTACATAACTCACTAAACGTATACGAGCTACTAACTGCTCCTTAATAACACAAAAGTGAATCATAGTTTTGCAAGGAAAAATTCACAGAATTTCCAAGGAAACGGTCGAAATAACAGCGAAGACTTTGAGATTACCTTCAGATAAATAATTGCATCGGTGCCGTATCCGTGCATGGAATACACTTGCAGATCACCGTGGAAATACCGGGCATACAACCGCGACAACGGCAATCCATAACCATACCCCGCCTGCCATGAAAGTAAACGGAATTATTTATCAATCTGATAAATATCGGCACGGTTTCTTTCAATTTTAATCGTAATCTAACGAGCAAGCTGCGAGCCTTTTCTTGCAATTTGCAAGTTAAAACCTACCATGGGAACAACGTTCATGCCTTCGTTTCCGACCGGCGCCGGGGCGGTACTGAACATGTATTCAAATAAACGCGGCATGTATTTCTGCGGAATTCCACCGCCTAAATCTGACATCTGCAATTCCCAAAAAATTAAATATCCATAAAAATAAAAATACGAAATTCAAATCAACATAAAAAGCAAACGAACAAAGTAATAAAATTGAAACAGAATATCAGAGAACTTTTAGATGTGCCACAATGCCGGAAAAAGTTGAGTTAAACTCAGTTAAAGTAATCATAATCCATACGTCAAATACGACAAAAATTATAAAATTTCTAAATTAAAATTAACACCCCTTGATCGCCACATCCTCAGCACTCTTGACAATAACGACTTGAATAGGCGCCAAAGTGGCCATCTCTTCCGTCCTCTCGCACAACGCTCTCATAGAATTTTTAAATAATTCAAAGGTTATATGGTAAAGATGCGACGGGACGTATACGATCTTGGCGGAAGAGTTCCTCTCTTTGTCCACCGTGTTGATGCAGTGTATCTGCAATTCCGGCGCTCGCGTGTAATAGGTTTCGCATAGCGACCGCGCATTTACATATGCATCTACAGTACCAAATGAAACATTTTCGCTTACTACAGGAAATTTCGCGCAGATGAAAAGAGATTTTCATACCATCTACCACAGCTTGTAAATCACATTCGGGATCGATTGTGCCCACGTGCTGGGCGCTGAACGGCTTCTCTCCGCCAAATAAAATCGCTAAAAAATCAAAAAAAGATTATTTAAGACGCAAGAACCGACAATTTATCGATTAAAAATAACTTCTTTTTATTCTGAATTTTTTTGTTTACAAATAATTTCGAGATTTTCACATTTATTATAAGATTTATAGAACTTAAAAGTCCTTTCAGTAAAATGTCGTAGCTGACATTTCTCGATAGCTTCAACGCCAGAAAACAAAGACTGAAAACTCACAATTACTACAGATTTTTAAACATAATTTGTTCCGTTATTTCCCTCTTCAAACTGAAATTGAAAACGGAAGCAATTTACCGGCGCTTGCACGAGATGTCAACAGAATAAAAAGATGCAAACTACATGCCAACCGTTTGGCATATGTTCCCGCCAATTATGTTGCTGTCAAAGGCGGCAGAATACAGAAACCGCAGCATTACTCACTGTGCTGATTAATGAGCATACGAATGGAAATGCGCATCATGTAGAATCGATCGAGAAAATACTGGATGCTGCTCCGCGTCGCACTGTCCACCAGGCCTTCCGCGCTGTTCTTCAACTCCACAACACCCTAAATAACACATTAAATGCCGATAAAAACGAGTTCTTAATCAAACGTCAATCAAGAAACCGTACAAAACGAACAGTTATGGAACAGTCAACGAAATTAACAGCCGCGACTAAATCGTTCGTTCTCCAACGATGTACAATCAATACATAAACATAAGGAATTTTCAGGAAAGATGGTGCTTTTCTGCCCCAGGTGTGAAAATTATTGGCTTTTAAAAATTAAGAGAAAACGCAGACCATCTCCGAAGCGGAGCACACAGAATTAATCTCTTATTTTTATATTTAATTTTTTCCAAAAAAATAAATAAGAATAACTAAACTAGAAAAATCGAAGTCAACAAAATATATAAAATTAAAAAATAAAACAACAACATTCTGTGCATTTATTATTACAAAGCTTCCAAGTTACAGAAAGAAAAGCACAATAAACAACACGGAAATTAGCCGGAAATCGCTATCATTACAGCGAAAGCGAGACCTTTGTACTTTACCCAGATCTGCTAACATAAATCACCGTATATTATCGCCAGTAATAAAACACCCGTCTGCAGCACGTTCGCTGATAGGAGCAGCAGCAATTCAATGACAAGTTGACAACTATGCCAATACCATGGCAAGGGCATTTTTCTTTTCGTGAGAAAACGCACAAGCCCGCGTCGCACACACAATTAAATTATCAAACTTATCTTAACTCTAAATTTTTGCAGATTTATTTCGTTGAACCTGAATTTTATCGCGATTTAGTGGTGATCCACGCTTCCGATTAACCCACCTGCGCCATTGTTTCCACAACACCAGCATGTCGGTTGCGAATCGTCGTCAAATCGGCAGTAAATCTAAAAAATTGTTATTTAAAAACGCAGAAACTTAGCGCTGTTTCTTTCATTCAAGAATTTACAAAATTTTAATATTGCCATAGAGTAATTCAACAAGGGGCAAAAGACACACTGAAAACAAGATAAGGATGTGATATCCAACCTAACTTCACAATATACACAATGGAAAATTTGAGCGTTCCAATTTAGACTGCGTTATGATGCAATCTGCATCAATTAAAAATAATAACCCGCACTGACTTTTTAATAATTTCCGGGTCGTGGGGATCGGCGTGTTCGTAGTTGAGCACTTCAAAGAAGCTTTGCTCGTACCAGTGCTGGACGATCTTCGTGCTGGACTGCGACAGCAGACTCTCCGGCAACAAGTGGATCTCCTTCATGATATTGGCCAGGCGCACCTGCAAAACGATAGCTAATACATATGCAATATAACCACAGCATTAGCATTTGTGAAATGAAAACACACCACTTTGCAGCTAAATTAACAGCAAAAAAAAACAGTAAAATGCATGAAAAATCTGCAATATCTGGACCATGTGCTTACTGTTTTGTTATGCATGAATTACATACCAAGGGCCATTTGCGGATAACAACAAACAGATAAGTATTATAAAATAACGCATAGCCAAATTATTACGCTGGAAAAGCCAGATAAACTTTGCCACTGCATCCAGAAACATATTACTACTAATTAACAACCAAAAAAAAGTATGGAATAAAAGTATTGTAACTATTTACTCTTGCCGATAATTAAGTAATAAAAAACGAAAATTTTCTATCGTAAAATCGGAAAAAAAAGTACTAATTAATTTTGATTAATCGTCCTTCCGAAGAAATTGAAAATAACGTGCACTGAAAAACACACTGCAGCAGAAAATCGGAAACCACATGAAAAGATAAAAATAAGTCAGCATAAAAGCTGCAAAGCTGTTATCTGTTTTCCAAAGTCTTCGCTGTCTCAAGCGACTGCAGAGATGCAAATATGCGAAATATTCATAAAGAAATAATTACTGAATAAAGAACTCGCATTGAGTAAGTACTAAGTACATACAGTAATCGCATGAAAAAAATGCATGGAGCGTGTCTGTTTGTACAGTAACTGCAAACCTGGAGCAGCTTTTTCTGAAATATGTTCCTCTAGTTATCAGACTTTTTATTCTACATTTAGCTATCTTCCATAAACAAAAAATACCAAAATGCAACCTACCAAAAAATTATATTCAGACGGAGAAAAAGACCAGCCAGAAAATCAAACAAAAAACTGAAAACTTTTGCAATACGGCGATATGCAAATGCAACTCACCAGCAGCTCCCTCCTGAGAAACTCAAAGCTGCTCCTGGCACACAACTCCTTCCCGCTGACCGTCAAACTCCTTCCAAACTCCACAAACTGCTTAATACTCATGGGAGTAGGGTTGAAATGCGAGTACTCATCGATCATCTTCTGCTTCTCCTTGGCGTCCATCTTCCCTTCCTAACCCCTGCACCAGAACTAGGGGCCGCCCCCCTGGGGCCAATGCCCTTCCCTTTGAACGTCGACTCCGACAGGCGCGTCGACGCCGCCAACGCCGAGGCGCACCGGTGGATGAGGAAGCGGGAGAGGAGGTTGGGGGGTGTCCGCACAGAGAACATGGCGACGAAACCCGGAGTGCAGTATAAAATTACTGGATGCTAGGAAAGCATGTTCTGACATGTACACAGACAAACGGATGATCCGGCTAACGGATGCAGATTATGCGGATTCCCGATCAACAATGGAGAGAAGATAAACGCAACATGGGAAAAAGGATCAGTGATGGACAGTTGGACTGGAACAGGAGGAAAACAGAAATTTGCAGATGTTTTGCAGAAATCGATAGCGTATACGCGCTGACGTCGACTGGCTCGGTTCAAGTTGTTTGTTTGCGCTTGAGTCGCTTGACTGGAAAATTGCTGGGGTCGCAGCGAGGCGAGGTATGCGCCGTGTGCGGTGAGCCGAGCGGACATTCTATAGTGATCCTACCGCCCGTGGGCTCTCACAAACCGGAAGTACAGTATCAGGGTTATTTTTGCATAACAGCTAACTAGAAATAAAATGTGCCTAATAAAAAAAGACGCGCCATTTTACAATGATAGTTTTCCTAATGGTTAGATTAGATTGTAATTTTGTTCAATAATTAAAGAAAAACGCCGATAATTAAGTAACGGTAATTCAGGATTAGCAAAACACTGTTGAATGAAATCCTTTCGAAATATTACCACAATATCATTAATTTCTGGTTTTCGTGTTTTTGATATATATTTTTCGAGAAATCTGCTGTTGTTCTTTCTTCGCAGCTTCGGTTGGAATTTTCTGCAATTTCTGCAGGAATGCTACAGCAAACGTCCCGGAAAAGTTAAAGTCATTTTCCAAATTCTGTAACAGTTTGCATTTTATTGGTTAAAGACACATCCTAACAAAGCAACATCATCTTCCTAAAACTAAAAAACATGCAGACACAATGACACGAAAGCGCACAGAGACACGCTGCACATACACGGCATAATTATCAAAAAAATATCGGATAAATACATGCAAAAAATGGGGAGAGAAAAAGCAGCTCAGCAAAAAATATTACAAGCGACAACATCCCGTTCTCGTTCCGGGTACTACTCCGCCGATGAAAACATACGCAGCTCGTTCAATCGTTTAACAACAAATTCGCTCAAAAACAGGCGCAAGGGCGCATTAAGCACGGAGAGAGAGAAAAAGAGAAAAGCAAAAAACAACAAAAATCCCACGGCAAAACTTCTTTCCGTTCGTCCCATCGTCGTGTCCGTCCAGTGTTCTTACTTTTGCTGATTGTAGGAAGTGTAGACTGCCATGTTGGGCGGCTGGCCCGTGACCATGCTGTTGACATTGGAATGGGCCACGCCCTCCATCGGGACGCCGCCCGGACCGCCCTCCTCGCCCTGCCCGCCTTGGCCGGCCATCTGCATGCCGGCGGGGTAGATCTGGTTGTAGCCGTACTGCGAGTACGGGCCGGCGTTGTACTGTTATGAAAAAACAGCCAATCAGTAATGCATTTAATTTCCAAAACAGCGTTCCACAAAAACCACCGCATTTCCGGTGTAATTCCTTTCAGGTCTCCAGGGCTTCCATCAAACGAAGAAATAGTTTTAATGTGAGAAAACGTTGTTCAAAAATATTTTGAAAATTCAGTAGTTCTTAAATTCCAAAAAATACGAGTATCGTGGTCACAAATCACAATAATTTCGATAAAAAAACAGAACTATTTTTAATTTTCACGGATAACGTTATCCTTATAATATCCCTGACCAACTCGATTTTAACACAAAATTCGCGCTTATAACGCACGATCCAAAAAACAGGGTTCTTTGTAAAAATACTGCTAAATATAAAACCACACAATAAAAAACTCAATAACGATAATTAACTTTATCAATGAATAAAATTGGCAAATCGGCAAAAAAATTTCAAATCGTAGCGGCAATAAACGTAAAATCTTCGTGGGTTTTAAACAGTTACTAATTAGCAATTATTGATGCCGTTAAACAACTTAAACTCACATGCGAGGACAATCCCATCTGACTCATCTGAGCCGCCAGTTGGGCCATGGAATATCCAGCGTTCTGTCCCTCCACGCCCTGAAAAAAATCTACCATTAAACCGGACCACGAAGAACTTTTTTCCCATCTATCTCACCTGCATCATCTGGGTCATCTGCTGCGGAAGTATAGTGTACTGCGGCTGCCACTGTGGCTGATAGCCGGCCAAGGCGGCGGTTTGTGGCACCTGGTAGCGGATGCCCGTCAACATCGATCCCGCCAACCTGCGCAAAATTACACTCATTCAATGGAAAAAATGTGCTGAATATTTACGCATGTGAACAGTGAAACAGCAGCCCCATTTAACGAAAAAGGCGGCAATTAATTGTGAATTTATAAATGTGAAACATACCCGTTCTGACCGACGCCCATATGCTCATAACCACCGATGCCCATGTGCTGTTCCATGCGATTCCATCCCTGTCGATCACGATTCTGCATGCGCCGACGATTGCCGCTGTCCGCGAATTTGACCACCAGCGGCTCACTACTTCCTGTAAAACACCACAATAATTTTAGCAATTTCCGATTCTCTCACATTCCAGTTACAAATTCTATTTCCTCAGCCAATAAAATTATCAAAATCGCGTCCAAAATCACAATTATAACGATTTTTTTAAATTTCCTTAATATTCAAGTATTATTTATTTCTTTCATAAATGATCGTCTTAAAATCAACCGAAAAATAACAAGCATGCAAGTGACGGTACTTACGCATTTCTACACTCCACAATTAGCACGCAGCAGGCATCACAACAAGCACAGCATTAGCACACGGAATACGGCTACCCCGTATTCATACAAATTAAATACTAAATTTAAATATTAATTCAACGTACCGGCAATGAGTTTCCCGTTGAGATGTTCAATAACCTTATCGCAAATATCCTTCGTCTCCATGCGCGCGAACCCCACACCGCGGCTCTTGTGGCTGTTATCGCGCAGGACCCGCGTGGACACCACCCGCCCATAGGGCTGCAGCATGGCCTCCAGATCGGTCTCCGTCATGTAGGGCGACAGATTGGCCAGGTACAGGTTGGTGGGGTCGGCATCCTGCAACTGCTGCACCGGGGTTATGCATGCTCTCTTCTGCAATGGTAGGGACGAGATTGACACTCACCTGCATCTGTTCCTGGGGATTGCGCACCTTCGCCATCTGCACCAGCATCCCGCGGGCGCTCAATTCTTCAACGCCCGATCCGCCGCCTGCGGGTTCTCAAAGTCCACGAAGCCGTAGCCCTTGCACTGGTTGGTCTGCTTGTCGACGATGGCCTTTGTCGAGTTGATGTTGCCAAAGCTAAACAAAGAAAACCAATAAAAAAGTCTAAATTTTTCTGCTTCACGTTGATCATGGAGAAGTTTAGCAATCCAACTTCCGGTGTATGTATTTTCAGCCTAATTTTTTAAGGAGCTTTCCTGAACCAACATCTTCTTACGCAGTAATCAAAAGAATTCAAAATATCACTAAATTAAGTTCCAAAAAAACTTTGTCCTTCTGAACCCGAGAAAATCCAACGAAAGGGTACAATAGTACAATTACGTAAGTTATTAACAGCCATCTCGAAATTTTTTAACATTAAAATTTGTTAATATTTTATTTCAACGATCGCGTCTGCATTTTTTTGGTAATTCAATTATCACTGTCTTCTGTATATTAAATAAACGCTGCTCAATAAATAATAACCAGTAATACACTACAAAAAAATACGTTGAACCAGTATGAATAAATTCAACCGGAAGTACCTTTTGATAAACAAAATGTTTGTTTTTACCATCTAATTCAGTAAATCCAGTAGTAACTATTTTTCAAGATTAATTAATAACCCTTGCAAGAAATATTTAGGACCACTTACACTCCACACATGCCCAGCAGATCCCGGTCCGACGTCTGTGGCGGCAGTCCGCGGATGTACAGATTCGTCTTACTCAACTGCTCCAGCCCCTGCTGCATCCCCATCCCGCCGCCCATTCCTCCGGGCATCATCCCCATCGGCCGCGGTCCTCCATACGCGCCCTGCGGATTCCCCAGCGTCATCTGATTCCCCTGCTGCGCATACCCTCCGACACCCATGGCGCCCTGCGGAATCCCCTGGCCGTTATTCAGATTGATGGTGGTGGGCTGCGGGAAGCGGGTGGCCCGCGGATAGAAGGTCCCACCGGGCCAGGCGCCCTGGCCCTGTCCGACGCCCTGCTGTCCCTGTTGGCCGACGTTCTGCCCGGGTCCGCCGGCCATTTGTAGACGGGGTTTGCCGGCGAAACGGTGTTGCGGTGGCTGGCCGGGGGAGATCCCGCCGCCCGCCGTGCCCTGCGGGGAGCCGGTGGGCTGCATGGGGCGCCACTGGCCTTGGGCCTGGGGGCCGGCCTTCCGCGGGGTGGTCTGTTGTCCCTGGCTGCGGCCGCCGGCGTTCGGGTTGGAATTGGCTTGGGGCTTCTTTCCGTTGGTCTCTTCGTCCGTCAGATCGCTGCGGCTGCCCAGGTCGGTCTTCTCTCCGTCCGCTAGTGGGGAATTTCCAGCGGAACTATTCTGATCCATTCCAAAACTCTACAATGACACGACACAATTTTTGCATTATTTCAAATTAACTAATTTCAGTGTCATTTTTTCAACGGAACCTCGGGATCACATATGGCTTGATATTCCATTTGACCTTGGCTGTCCGACAAACGGCAAGCCTTTAAAATTAATCACATCCGCAACTCAACAATAAAATTCAAAAATAAAATCCTTGTCAAACAAAAAAGCGCTGGGTTTTACCAGCAAGAACAGCACGAACCATTACGTCACTCTACCTATCGACAAAAGACTAAGTGGCTTCGTTGGCGCCAGCAAATCATTACGATTAACTCAAGTACAGCGTCTTCCTTATAATTTCTCGCTACTCAAATCGAACAATCGAAAACAGGAGCTCCAGTACAAATTCACCAAAAATTCGAAAAATATTTTCGGACTAAACTTAGCGCACGTTACAAGATCCCTGTTTCGCTACCAGTTAATCCATCCTGCATTACAGGGACTGCGCCAGATAAGAGCAATTTAAGCGCATCCCAAAACCAAAAAAATCGTAATTTTATAGGGCGATTATAATACACAAAAAAACGAACTTACTGAGATATAAAAGTTGAAAATAGATGATTCCTATTAAACGGAATAACCCGCGTCCACAACAACAACAAATGGAAGATCGTGGTTGTCAGGAGCTGATAAAAATCAACGGAGATCACACAGCAGGATCACTCCGTCGCAGATCCTCCAGGAACTGAACCGAAACCTGATTAACGTATGATGGAGATAGATTAAACGCTGACACAACACGGGATATGTTGAATTATAAACTGAACACGGATGTAAAAGCTGAATGGGCAATGGATCGTCTTTGGTGTGCTGGTTTCGCGACACAGTGCGCGCAGATCAGGATGGGGCACTGCTCGTGAGAGAGAGAAGAGATACGGGTTTTGTGCGTCCCTGACGAAGAGATATCTCCACACCGCAATAACGATGGAGAAATAACTGCAAAAAATAGCAAGAAAATTAGAAAAATCTGAGGAACCCTCCAAACGGGGTCAGCGGGAAAACCATCTCAAACGCATTTACCCGGTCATTTTTCATAATATTTATATTATGAAATAAATTTTTATGCTTTTCCATCAAAACGGTAGACAAATAACCAGTTTTTCATCGCGGAAACAGCCGAAGACCCGCTTTCGAATCAGCAGCACGCAGAAAACCGCAGCGTTTTTAAATCGCGTTCCTGGCCGTTATCCGCTCCCATTCATCTTACTTTTTCGATAAATTTAAAGTAAAAGGTTTTAAAAGTATTTACATACCTTTGGATAACGATGAAAACAACGGATAAAACGGATGTCGATTAAAAACTCGAATGGATAACAAGGCACGGCAAAATTTCGAATCAGTGTGTTTGTTATTAACGGCGTTTAAAAAGGTGGCTGCAGATAAGACTTGGCTGGAATATGCTGTAAAGAACGCTGTGCTTATCCTATTTTGGTAAAAGTATAAATGGATGGGAATAATTTAAAGGTAAAATACGATTATGAATAGGTATGGTTAAAGATATTTACAAACACACACCAACCTACGGACACATTTTGCCTGGATTAAAAATCAGTTCTGAAAAGTAAAAGCCTCTTCGATCTGTGTCATGACCGATGACGGATGCTGGCCCGAACGTGCTGAACCGACTCATGTCAGCACCGTGTGCGCAGTGCGCACAGACAGTGCACAGGCAGCGAGTGGGTCCATTATTCCAAACCACATCCGGGTCGCCCAGACTGCACCCGGCCCAGACGGCGTTTAACCTACTGGCAGACACAATGCTCAGCCGGCGCCGCCAAAATGTGAGCCCAGCTCCATTTGCATGGCTGGACAGGGATGAATTCCAGCAACACGGTATGCGACAGTTCCATTTCCATTTTCAAATTGGCATTTCCGTCTGCACCTGCTTGTCCAGCTTGCTAACTACATATTGCCTTTTGAATATTTTTAATTTTCCTGATTTATGGAAAATGTTGCAAATCGCCGAGTTTTTTGTTTTTACAAAATATAATATTTTTATAATTTTTTCGGGATGCTAATATCCATGTTCCAGTCCTGGGAACCAGACACAGCTTCATGAATCGCCCGTACGAATTTTCCGTAGATAAATTTTATGTTTTTATCGTTTCTACCGTTGAGTTCGTTTGAAATTATTTTATTACTTTTTTTATTTCTGGGATTTCCGTGTGTTTAAGTCATGTATGGGATCACAATAACTTATGTTGGTTACAGTGCAGAAATGAGTATCGTCGGTAGTCGGTAGGATAGTTTTCCAGAACGCGTCACAGCTTGCACGATCTTCCTAATGAAAATTCCTCTCCTTTTGTCGGCATCCCATCGCCCGCAGCCCAATCGTATTAATATTTTAATATCCCCGAGATGAGCCGTGGTTAATTAAGATCTGCGCCGGCGAGCGGCGACCTTAATTCGTAATTGGCGCGCGGCGATCGCCTTGGGGAGGCAAGACATGGATCATTCTAATGTGGGTTAATATGGCTCACTGGGCATTGGCCAGACGCAGCGCTCCCATTCGCCAGCCTGCGCACTGATGCATGACGTCATCCAGCGGGCTTTTCATCTTTCTAGATTCTAGACAGGCAGGCAACGCTCCATTGCCCGCTTAGCGATACACAGCGAAAATACAGCGGCGGTCATCTAACAATCGCCAGCGCTCTCTGCAGTTTATCAGCGATTTCCAGCTCGCCTTTCTTCTTTTCCTCAAGAGAGGGAACGAGAGAGAGGAGAATTTATGTTCCAACCCGTTTATGCCTGCCAGACCGAGCATGACTGACCAAACGCAGTGGCTAGCGGATCAGACTCCAATAGCGCGGTGCGCGTCGTCGCCTCGTATTGGCTAATAAATCCACTCGCCAACCATTCTCCAGTTTCTCTCCCATGCTCTTTCATCTCGTGGAGGGAGAAATATTGCTCTCTTTCTTTTAATACTCTTTTGGCATAATCCGCAGCTGTTACACATTATGGCCAAGTGAAGCGGCACGGCTCAATCGCGTCAGGTCCCGTTTTATTGCCTCAGCACATTAATTATGTCCAGACACGTTGGCCGACAAAGAATGCTAGTCGTAATCTTCTCCTCGCTTTTCATGCAGTTTTAACTTATGACATGTTGGGGATTGTCGGGGATGTTTTAACGGAATGTGGATGCAGAGGTTAAGATGATTATCCGCGGAGAATTATTGTAAGTTCTGACCTGTTGTGTAATGATGTAAAATTTGCTTGGTCACGTTTCGTCTGTCGCTTGACCATATTGTTATATGAGTCAGTGCGATGATTCATTGGTTTTTTAAGCGGCTATCGCATTCCCGCGCATTATGTTACAGAATCAATAGCAGGCTTTTAGAAAATAATCATTTATTAATTCTGAATTTTAATATTTTTGCGTTGTACAACAGGGCAAGGACGGTGCGATTACTATTTACGATTGTTATGATGATCGATACAAATCGATAGGTTTGAAAGGGCAAAAGCCTAAAAGGAAACGATGGACATGTGTACTTACCTTGTTAGCTGGTAGTGAAGTTTTGGAACAGGTGGTGTATTTTTGTCTGATGTTCCATCGTGATAATGTAATGCAAATTATTGACGTGCTGCGACGATATGTTCACTTTTCATGCGAGTAATCATCGCGCAAATACGGTAGTTCGATATGCTTGCAGTTCTCAAATTTTGTTTGTAAGCTGTAAACTTTATTTTATCCATCTTATTTAATTTTTATTTTTTTGTATCCCAGTTATTTTCTCAGGCCATTGAAAAAATGATCAATTCAATTTTATCTAAAACCGGCTGTGCTATAATTTTATTTAAATGCAATTATGAGCGCAATTTCTATTTAAATAACTCGGGTTTTCGTTAAATTAATCGGTAAAAAATATTTACTACACGGACCGGAAGTTAATTTCTTTAGCCAAAATAAATCATATGAAATTAAATGTTTTTGTTTTGCTGGTTAAGTATCCGGAACATCAAGGTTTCCTTGTTTGGTACATACACAATTATATTTACTTTGAGTAGATGCCGGTCTGATATCAAATGCAAATGTTTCTGGAGCGGTCAGTGTGGTTTATTGATTCAGCCTGGCAGATTACTTGGCAGGGGCGGAATGTAAAAAATGCCAGCGATGATATGGTAATGTTTTGACATTTCAATTTGGGGAAAATCATTTAGCCAAACAGTGTTTAATTTGGCCGAGTGTAATTCTAGCCGGGATGATCAGTTTGGCTTTGTAAAGTGCAATCTGAACGGGTTGTTATTAAGTACACACGGCAGCTGCTGCACAACGAAGTGCTCTGTTCACTCGCTGAGTCGCTTGCCTGCACGTCCCCCCGACTGCTTCCCTTGATTCCCGGGCGGGGAAGCCGAACAGAACGGGCTGTGTTGTTTTGCACATGGTAATTTTTCAAGAGTCCCAATGTAACCCACTTTGAATGGCTGGCCCAGTCTTTTGTCGCAGCCAGGACGGAATTGCTACCAATCCCTCGATTAGCGCAGGCGCCCAGCGGGTGCGGACGGTAGCGTAACGAAGTTATTTGTTACTTGATTCCTTATTTATTCATTAGTCGTAAAACAGCAATAATTAATCATCAGTTCGGTTGGCATTAGTGGGAGCGACTGAACAAGATCATTTCTTTGTCGGACAACAAAAGATTAATTTGAAAAATCTTGATGTAGTTCCGAAAATATTTTGATGACCTTTTGGGCAGGTAGATAATAACAAAAGATTATAAGAATTTAACAGAAAATTCATGGATTTTTTCAGTACAATATTTTCGTACGGAATATTTTGAAAGTGTTGAGTGACGGAAGTGGTATAGCTGTAAATCATTTTACGATGACCTTTTGCTTGTTAGTTAAGCGGATAGATAGTCAAAGAAAGTTATAAAGTTATAATGATTTTTACAAAAAATTCCCAGAGTTTTCATAAATACATTATTCTAACGATTTTGATGCAGCGAATATTTTGAAAGCGTTGAGTGACTGCCAAGTGCAGCTACAATGGGTAATAAGCTCGTTACGCCCCCGCCGCTGTGGCCCCGGCGTATATATGCAGCGAATGCCGGGCGCGAGTGTAATTGAAGCATATGCGGCATGTGCTTATGATCGATATTCGATCTTCTCTTTATCTATTGAGCCTCTCAAATACAAATATTGTACATTGGCCAAATCCACACTCTGGAGCCTCTCTCGTGTCTCTCCACGCTGGCAGATACACAGTGGGCCATCGCGGGGTTAGATGGTAGTTGGTGGAGATTTTAAAGCTATCGAAGAAAGGTAGACCAACTTGTTTGTGTAATTCAGTATTTCTGCTCTTGCAAGTGCAGCTGCTGCCGGTTGCATCGTGTGGTCAGTGCAGCGTCTGAATTATCACAACAGCGAACAGTGGGATATAGTATTCATTTCCGGAATTGTTTCCCGCGGTGAGTTGTCCCGAAAAGTGTGTAGCTAGTTGTGCACGTTGTCCCCAATCGGCGATTGCTGATCAAATTACAACCTGGGTAATTGTGTAGCTGGTTAGGGCGACCTTTGTTGAAGTTTGCGGTGGCGTAACGACCAGATCGCGTCTCGCGTAAGGATGATTTGATAATTATGAAAGAGTGTGTTACGGATTATCGGGGGTTTTGTTAGCGAGAGGCCCCGGTTTTTCGACAGCCGTGTTTTTCCCGGTGTCAGCGTGCTCAAGTAGCGGCGTGTGCCGGCGTTTCGAGTGCGGCAACGGCACCATTACATTAACGATGCCGGCAACAAATGGGATTTGGATAACGTTTACATGTGTTTCGTGTCGTGTTGTGAAGGATTAGGCCGTTGCTTCCGCCGGTGCATGTATTGATGTCGCGTTATCAAATTCCCGTTGTAATCACTTTTATTGAATTTTCTGCGTTTCGCGCGCGGTGTGGCGCCAATTACAACGCTTCGTTATTTTTCCTTCATCCAGAATTTCCGTACCTAAACAACGCAGTTACAGAGACAGATTGTGCAATATTTTAACAATAAAAATACAAAAAGATATTTTATAAAAATGAAGCGGCGTTTAACGTACAAATATTACGATCTGATTCGTACACGTCGCTATCGCGGTGTAAAAATAATTATCTGCCAGGAGTTTTCTCTAACAATTTACCTTAACCATTTTACTTTACGGCATTTTCGCCAAGGCAGCAAAAGATTTGCTTTTGAGCACACGCTATTAGTTCTGTATGATTTTACGGAGCGATATTACGAGTAGCGATAAATCCGCCGCGGTATGTTTTAAACCGGAGTTTGTTTTTCATTTTTACGAGGCTTCGCGCCCGGGTCATTCTGGCTGGTGTGATGGCGCATTTGACCGACATCGCGCTGGATCATTAAAAATTCGACAGAGCCGCTGATCTGATTGATTGTTTTTCTAATTTCATCGTCCATCGACGAAATAGCGGATTTGTCATCGGCCGTGCCGGGGAAAAATTAAATACCGCTACCGGCGTGCCAACATCAACACCGCATTACACACGTGTTGTAATATAGATTTTTTTGCGCTATTCCGCCGCGCGCGACATCCATTTTCCAGCCATAATGAAAATTGGGTCAAGTAGTCATTTTTTTGTGTCCGTGTT